TGCAGGAAAGGAAATATACTTTGTTGGTTACCAGGGATGGTAAGAAAGGGGAGAGAAAACTTCTGACTAGTTTTGAGTCATGTGTTTGTTGGGTGAAGGGAAAGACAATATTACAAAAGACTGTGACCAGTACAATAACAATAGGAAAAAAGAGGATACAGAAATGTGCACAAAAAATATAGACAACAGAGGCAAATACCATTAAATACACAATACTGCATTCCCCATAACAACAAACACTAGTCTAGATAGACAGGTGAGAAGATCAGGTGTGGGTAAGTGAACAGGAATACACTCATGACCGTAGATGGATTTGGCTGTTGATATCCTAACATGTGTATTTATGCTACAAAAATATCCATATACATTATAGAAATAACAAGGAACAAGGTTGGGATAGCTTCTCAGTTACAAACAAGCACCTCGAGGGAGTGAGTCCCCAAGCCTATGGGCTTGGGACAATGGTCTCAAGGGACATCTAGTTCAATTGGCACAACATATGGTACTTAAAAATCTTGTTCTACATCCTACTTTGGTGAGTAGTGACTGGGGTTTTAAAAACTTGCAAATGGCCATCTAAGACGCAACTATTGGTCTTCCTTCATCTGGAAAAAGAAAAGTGAAGAAAATCAAAGTCATATGGAAGCAATTAGTCCAAGGGACTAACAGAACCAGTTTCCATGCCCTGAGACCTACATGGTGCCTAGCTGCCAATGCCAATCACTTAGAAAGAGATCAAATTGGAGATCCTGGATAGAGTGGGAAGAAAAATGTGGAACAAAATTAAAAAAAAAAAAAAAAAAGATGACCAGAATTACCAGTTGGATATAGACTAGTGGAACTCCTGAGAGTATGGCCCGAGTTATCCTTCAAGCCTGGAGCTGGGCTCACTTCCATGGATTAGCTCTCAGCCAAAAGTAGAAAGACCTACAAGCAGAACACTTACCCAGTGAAATGCACCCATCTACCGTGAGGAGATGTACCCTTTAGATCAATCAGTCCTGAGACATCAGAAGACATCATTTACATAGAGGGAAAACTGAATAAAGAGGAATGCATGTTGTTGTTGTTATGTGCCGTCAAGTTGGTCCCGACTCATAGCTACCCTTCCTTGGTTTTCCGAGGCAGTATCACTACGGAAGTAGGATTGCCCAACCTTCCTTCAGAGGAGTGCATAGATAAGGGTAAATGGAAAGGGAATTCACAGGGAGGAGATGTGAGAAGAGCTTTTTATTCTGGGGATTGCAATTGGGCCATGAAACCAAATGTGCATGAACTGTTGAAAGTAAAGTGAATCAGCTTTATAAATTTGTGCCCAAATCACAATAAAAAAAATTTAAAATTAGAATGAACTATTGATGCATAGGAGCTCTGGTAGCATAGTGCCTAAGGCACTTGACTGCTCACCAGAAGGCTGGCGGTTCAAACCCACCAGCACTCCTCGGAAGGAAGGTTGGGCAATCCTACTTCCGTAGTGATACTGCCTCGGAAACCCAAGGAGGGGTCGCTATGAGTCGGGGCCGACTCGACGGCAAACAACAACAACAACAACAACATTGATGCATGTGGCAACTTGACTAGATTCAAAATAATTATGCTGAATGAAACAAATGCAATACAGAGAAGTATTTTTTTTATTGATTTGAGTTTTATAAAATTCTTGAAAATAAAAACTAATCTATTACGTCAGAAAGTGGATCAGTGTTGCCTGGGAGATGGGGAGCATGAGAATGTGGGAGAAAGGGATTACCAAGGTATATGAGAAAACCTAAGGGTGATTGTTGTGTTGATTGTATTAATTGTGTTGTTAATTTCCTAAATTTACAAATATGTCAACACTTCTGAAATTATATACTTGAAATACATCTCATTTCTTATACAGCAATTACATTTCAATAAAACCATTTAAAGAAAATAGAAAAGGAGAGGGAATATAGGGATTGAATATGGCTAGTTCTTCTGTCAAATTCAGTTTTCAAATATTCACTCTCATATTTACAGGAAGTATTTAGAATTGGGTGGAAGAATGGACAATGAATTACTCTATTAGTCTCTTCACAGGAAAACATGTGGCTTGGAAATTGAATTTCTCTTTTTTTTGGAGAGGCTGTGAGAAGAACACCTGGAAACTTATGAGTTATTTTGATATTATCATTAACCCATGGTAAATCATTCCTGGAGAAATTAGTCTGTAGAAAGGAAGGCTATGCATCTTATCAGCTATGATATCCTATGCAGTGTTTGTAAGAGAAATCTGGGCTTCTATAGCATACATTTTTGCAAAGTTTGAATTCTTGTCACACAGAAAAATACATTTGGTCAATTTCATTCATAATCTCATTTCTTTAAGTATATGAAAATGTATGTATGTATATGTGTATACTACACATACAGTTCCTTTGAGTTGTTGTTGTTGTTGTTATGCGCCGTCGAGTCAGACCCGACTCATAGCGACCCCTTTGAGTAGTCCTCTTTAAAACGTTAAAAAACAAAGATGTCACTTAGAGGACTAAAGTGTGCCTGACCCAAGCTATGGCATTTTTGATTGTTTCATATGCATGCAAAAGCTGGACAATGAATAAGGATGACCAAAGAACTGATGCATTTGAATTATGCTGTTGATGAAGAATAAGAATATTGAGTATATCCGGGATGTTCAGAGGAATAAGCACATTTATCTTGGAAGAAATTTAGCCAGAATTCTCCTTAGAAGTGAATATAGTGAAACCTTGTTTACTTCTTTGAACATGTTATCAGGAGGGACTAGTTCCTGAAGAAGAACATCATGCTTGCTAAAGTGAAGGGTAAAGAGGAAGAGTTTTGTTAAAGATTGATTTGTGTTCCCCAAAAAAATATGTGTTATAAATCCCAGTCTTTACTCCTATTGTTATAATGGATTTGGGAAAAGTTTTCTTTGTTATGTTAAAGGGGCAGGATGAGCATAGGGTATGTCTTTAGTCACCATCTTTTGAGATATAAAAGAGAATAACCAAGCAAGTGAAGGAAGCAGAGAGCAGGGAAGGAAGTGCCAAGCTATATGAGTAATAGAAACTAAAAAAGAGACACGAAACTTCCTCCACAGCCAACAAAGACAAAGGCTTCTTCAAGAGCCAATGCTCTGAATTTAGATTTCTTGCATCCTAAATAGTGAGAAGGAGCTCTGGTGATGCAGTGGCTAAGGCATTTGGCTGAACCAAAAGGACAATTGTTCAAGCCCAACCCCTGCTCTGTGAGAGGAAGATGAAGCAGTCTGCTTTCATAAAGATTTACAGCCTTGGAAACCTTATGGGGCAGTTCTACTCTGTCCTATAGTGTCACTATGAGTTGGAATTGACTCAAGGGCTGTTGTTTTTGGGTTTTCCTTGGTCCACTGAAAAACCATTTGAGTCATCAGGCCCTTAAGAACTTGGAATCTCATACAGTGGAAAAATGAATGGAAATGCAATATCTTCAATCTCATATGATCATTTCAGTACCACATGTGAATGCAGTGTACATCATAGATCTTTGTAGTTGATTTCATATTTAACTCTCTAATTCACATTCTAATTTCACATTCACATCTCTAATGATAGAGATCCAATAAGCTAGGTTTCAAAGGAGATCTGACACTTTCTGGTAGACTCATAGATGTATTTGAACTTTTGTGCACAGGAAGCACAGATAGCTTGTGTAATCAGACAGCCCTGAATTTTGTACAGACTTGGAAGGCAGGCAAGTAGATCTTAAGCTGTCCATTTTTAAATTCATTCTTTCTCTTTAGTTTAGTAAACAGCAACTTTGGATTACAGTGAAAGGAGAAAAACCAAAAAAGAAAAAAAGTCGCTGCCATCAAGTCCATTCCAATTCAGAGGGACCCTCTTTGGGTTTCTGAGGAGGTAAATCTTTATGGAAGTAGATTGCCCAGTCTTCTTTCCATGGAGTGGCTGGTGGGTTTGGACCATCAGCCTTCCAGTTAGCAGTCAAATGCTTAAGCACTACACCAGCAGAAGAGAATAACTAAAAGAATGTGTGGTGAAAAATTTCACCATCTTTTCTGCCCACCAAGGAAGTGTGCAAAGAGAATGCAGATAATTATAGAAGGCAGTTGATGTTCAAGTCATAATAGGTCAGAGAAGGGTGTGCAGAAGAAATAGGGTTCATCACCACTCTCAGGGCTATGGTTGTGAGGAAGAAGAATCCATGTGAAATACATTCTGGAAATGACATAAAAGGAAGTAGTGTGCAGAAGACAATTAGTTAAGACCATCTCCTAATATCATACCCATTGTCTCAGTAGCCTGAAATATGGAAGGGAAATCTATTATGTACCTGTTGAAATTTCATAAGGCAAAATCACTAGTTGCTTATGAGTTTTGCTACAAGGAAGATGTTTGCTTTCAGAAGATATCTTCAATGGAGTACTATGTACTATACATCCACCATTAGAGATTTCTTCACTGATTTTTTGTGAAGGATCACTAGTGAGAAACATACTTTTAAATAGAAAGATACATAGTGAACAAACATAGAGCAGGACCCATAAAGAGGGTCTTGATAGGCCAAGCAAACAATTATCTTTTTTAATTCAGTCCATGATTAAGTGTTAAGCTTAATATTTTATGTCACAGGCTAGTCTACCACCACTTATCTTAGTGTCAGTGAGGTAATTATGAGAGACAGAAGAAATAGCTATCAACTTACACCATCTAAAAGAAAAATATACTACTCTACTTTTTTTTTTTTTTTCCAGTTGGGAAGAATGTATGTTATATCATGCAAATTCACCTTAGAAATCGTTTTCAAAATAACTATCTTGCAACTAATCAAGGAAGTACTGAATCATGAATCATAATACCATAGAATAGTATTTCAAGAAGTATGTGACTTTTTGTGTACAGAAATAAAACAGTAATAGCTGAAAACTGGAGTGAAAGTAATAAAAATGGTATGTTACTTTAAGAAGCAGAAAGAAAAGTTAGTTTTCTTAAAAAAGAAAGAGCAGATCACTACCATGATCTTTAGTGGTTCTTACTTCTAACCTGGAGTGGTCTATATGTCATATCCATGGCTTTTTTCAGTACATCTTTTACATCCTTATTCCTCAAGCTGTAGATCAAAGGGTTCAGCATAGGAATGACTGTGGTGTAAAAGACAGAGGCCACCATCTCTTGGCCCATACTGCTGCTGGATGCTGGTTTAAAATACATGAATATGATGGATCCATAAAAAAAAACAACAACTATAAGATGAGAACCACAGGTACTAAAGGCTTTGGACTTGCCCTCAGCTGAAGGTATTTGAAGTATGTTGGAGAGTACGAAGACGTAAGAGACCATGATGGGCACAGTTGTTACTAACATATTGAATCCACCCAGAAGTACCACCAGAAGTTCATTGATGTAAGTACTGGAGCACGAGAGCTTTAGGAGAGGAATCACATCACAGAAGTAATGGTAGATGATATTATCACCACAGAAGGAAAGCCTCATCATGAATATTGTGTGAGTTAAGCCTCCAAAAATTGCCATCATAAATAAGCCAGTCACCAGCATGTTGCAGACCTTTTGAGACATGGTGACACTGTATAGCAGTGGACAACAGATAGCTACATATCTATCATAAGCCATAGCAGTCAGCATATAGGATTCAGCAGTAACAAAAACACAAAAGAAAAAAAGTTGAGCCATACATCCAGAGTAGGAAATGATATTTTTGTCCCATATGAAGTTTTCCAGGAGTTTGGGAGTAATCACTGAAGAATAAAAGAGATCTATGACTGACAAATTACCCAGAAAAAAGTACATAGGAGATTGGAGCTTAGAATTGAAAGTGGTAAGGAAGATCATACCCAGGTTTCCCACTACAGTGACCCCATAGATGCCCAGGAACAGGAGGAGAAGGGGCGACTTGAGTTCTAGTTTGTCTGTCAGTCCCTGGAGAACAAACTCAGTCACTGTGGAATCATTTTCTTTCACCATATCCTTCAGGAAACAGGAGATGTGAAATTGTAGAAAAGAAAATCATAGAAGATAGTGAAGATATTTGCCTGTGATAAGTAATAGTTTTAATTGTGTTGTGATAAGAAAAACAAAAAAAAACTAATAAAAGAGTTTAAATGTGGTCAAAAAGAGCATTAATTACATCACTCATTGTTCAGGAATGTTTATTTTTAACTAAACACCTTCATAAGTTATAGAGAAAAAAGAATAAATCCAAAGTGATCTTTTAAATAATTAGAATATATCTCAAAAGAACAATGTTCCAGTAATTGTGTGCTCTCAGGAATTAAATTGGTGACAAGAACAAGCAGGAGTTCAATAATTATGGATGAAACTGTTCTATTTCTGCAATCGCCAGAACAAGGAACATCAAGTTTTTATTTAGTTTTGAGAAATCACTTTTAGGGTTAGTGTTGGATCTTTTGTATATTCTGTGTTGAAGTGCCACTGGAATACTTTGTCCTCAAGGAGAAAGAAGTATGGGAATGTATGTTTTAGGGTTAAGATCCTTACTCTGAAAGATATGTGCAGGAGCTATCAGTTCCAAATTAAGGAGGTCTTTAAATTAATTGTGGAAGTCTTTAGTTCAAATTAATGAGGACTCTATTATATTTGTTCTTTCTTAGGAGAGTTTTGGTAGTGTAGTGCCTAAGGCATTTGACTGCTAACCTGAAGGCTGGTGGTTCAAACCCACCAGCCACTCCTTGGAAGGAAGGTTGGGCAATCTACTTCTGTAGTGGCACTGCCTTGGAAACGCAAGAAGGGGTCACTATGAGTCGGGTCTGACTCAACAGCACATAACAACAAAAACAGGAGAGTTTTGGAAGCAATTTCTGGTGCATCTCAGGAAAACAATGAAATATGAACACAAAGAAGAGACCTTTACCTTTTGCTCCACCCATTGAACACCCCATTAAAACCAAACTTACTGCCGTTGAGTCAGTTCTGATTCATAGAGACTTCTCTTTGGGTTTCCAGGGTGGTTATCTCTATGAAAGTAGATTGCCCAGTCTTCCTTCCCAGGAATAGCTGGTGAATTTGAACCGCCAACCTTCTGGTTGGCTGTCAAATGCCTTAGGCACTATGCCAATCATTAGCAAAAGAAAAATCTTTTCCTGCAGGTTAATTATGTTTGATTATGCAATAGCCATATATATTTATATCAACAGTAGCTTTCTTAAAATATTAATTTGTAATTCTTCCTATGCAATATCATTTCATAGTAAATGCTATAACAAAGCATGCTCAAGGACTTCTGGTCTTGAAGTGGTTAAATGCTTGCTACTAATTAAAATATCAATACATTGAACCCATCAGTCACCCGCAGGAGAAAGATAAGACAACTCTGCTACAATAAAGATCACAGCCTTGAAAGCCCTGTGGCGCAATTCTCTGCTCTAAAATTGGCATACACTTGAAGGGAATAAGTTTTAAAGAAATTATACTCAGAATTTGTGTACTTACTTGAATGTTGTCAGGAGTAGAAGAATTGTTGATCCTTTTTAACTGATATCATCTCTCTTGGAATTGTAAAATAAATTCAATATCTTCATGGCAAATATGAGTTTTCCAGAACCTTCTTGATCTTGTTTAGTATGTGGTATTATTAGCATGTAACATCAAGCATCATATAGCAACTACTGGAAATGAAGAAGAAATACATCCTCTTCCTAAAATTTCTGGAACTGGGTTATGCTCCAGCTGCATCACTAATTCACTCTGTGACTTTGAGAAAGATATTTTACCTTTTCTTTTCTAAACAAGAGTATGATTAGAATGAAGACCTCTAAGGTCTGTTATAGCTCTATGATTTAATGACTCTCTAACTGTAGTTTGAGTAATGATCATAAGATCACCTCTAACCTCAGATCCTGAGGGACTTTTGTAAGCAAGGGACTACTTTGAAGTTCAAGGACACACATGAGTTCAGTATTCTCCTAGCACCAAAAGTCTTGGGGAGAGTCAGAGGTGACATTCCCCTAAGAATAAGAAAAGCAATTAACTGTAAAACTCACTACCATAGAGTCAATTAGACTCATAGTGACACCTCCTTGGGTTTCCAAAGTGGTAACACTACAGAAGTAGATTGCCCAATCTTCCTTCTGAGGAGTGCCTGGTGGGTTTGAACCACCAGCTTTCTGGTTAGCAGTCAAATGCCTTAGATGCTACGCCCCCAGAGCTTCTTATTAGATATATGGTTCCTGAAAATTTTCTCTCAATGTGTATGCTGTATTTCACTTTATTGATAAAGTGCATTGATAATCAAGATAATATAGTTTCTATGAAGTCCCATTTATCTGTTTTGTCTTTTTATGCCTGTGTTTTTGTTGTTAGGTCTAATAATCCATTGTGCAAAACTAATAATTCATAGTGTTTCCTTAAAAGCATGCACAATATTCATCAGGAGTTCCACAATGCTTTCCCCAGTGAGATGAGAGAAATAAAATGTAACTTCTAATAAATGACAAATAATCAGGTCTACTGAACTTAGGCAAGCCTTAAATCTGGGGAAAATAGGACATGTGCCATTGAGTCAGTTCCTACTCATAGTGACCCTATGTACAATAGAACAAAACGTTGCCTGGTCTAGCACCATCCTCACAATCTTTACAATACTTAAGCCCATTGTCGCACCCACTGTGCTAATCCATCTTTGTCAGGCTCTTCCTCTTTTTTGCCGATCGTCCACTTTACTAACCTTCTCCAGGGAATGGCCCCTTCTGAAAATATGACCAAAGTAGGTGAGATGAAGTCTGGCCATTCTCACCTCCAAGGAGTATTCCAGTTGCACTTCTTCAAGGACAGATTTGTTCATTCTTCTGGTAGTTTATGGTACTTTCAGTACTCCTTACCAACACCACAACTCAAAAGCAGCAACTTTTCTTTGATCTCCCTTATTCATTGTCCAACTTTCACATGCATATAAAATGTTTGAAAATGGCATGGCTTGGGTTAGGCTTATCTTAGTCCTCAAAGAGACAACTTTGCTCTTCAATACTTTAAAGAGGTATTTAGTAATATGATGTCCAGTACAAAATGATGTCTGATTTCTTGACTGTTGTTTCTATGGATGTCAATTGTGGATCCAAGTAATATGAAATCTTTGACAACTTCAAGTTTTTCTCCATTTATCCTAATGCTGTTTATTGGTCCAGTTATGAGGATTTTCATTTTCTTTATGTTGAGATGTAATTCATGCTGCAGACTGTAGCCTTTAAATCTTCATCAGTAAGTGCTTCAAGTCTTCTTCACTCTGAGCAAAGTTGTGTCATCTGCATATTGTTGTTGTTGTTATTTGCCGTCGAGTCGCCCCGACTCATAGCGACCCCTCCTTGGGTTTCCGAGGCAGTATCACTACGGAAGTAGGATTGCCCAACCTTCCTTCCGAGGAGTGGCTGGTGGGTTTGAACCGCCAGCTGTCTGGTTAGCAGGCAAGTGTCTTAGCCACTATGCTACCAGAGCTATATATTACAGGTAGTTAATGGGTCTTCCTCCAATCCTGATGCCACATTCTTCTTCATATGGCCCAGCTTCTCAGATTGTTTGCTCAGCATCCAAACCAAAAAACCAAACTCACTGCCATCAAGTCTATTTCGACTCATAGCGACCCCTCATTGGGTTTCTGAGGCTGTATCTCTATGGAAGTAGATTGCCCAGTCCTCCTTCCAAGGAGTGAACTGTGGGTTTGAACCACCAGCCTTCTGGTTAGCAGTCAAATTCCTTGGGCACTATAACAACAGAGCTCCCTTTGTAGATTGAATAACTATGATGAAAGAATATAACCCTGGTGTAAACCCTTCCTGATTATAACCATGGGGTATGCCCTTGTTCTGGTTCAATGACAGGCTCCTAGTCTATGTACAAGTCCCTCATAAGCACAATTAGATGTTTCAGTTTTCTCATTCTTCTCAATGTTATCCATAATTTGTTATGATCCACACAGCTGAATGCTTTTTTTTTTTTTCAATTTTATTGTGATTTGGGTGAAACTTTACAGTGCAAATTCATCTTCCATACAGCAGTTCACATCCACTTTGTCTCCTGACATTGACTACAATCTCTCACAATATAACAGCTCTCCTCCCACATCCTCCCCATAGCCACCTCTTTCCTGTGCCCTTCCCTTCCATGCACTCATGCTCCCTGAGATATCTCCGTGTGCATGCACAATCCTTCTATTTTCCCATGATTGATCTCTCCAAGGAGTGTATCTACTTAATGTTAATGTTCAGCTCATATGCCTGTCTTTAGTTTGTCTGGAAGCTACAAGACTGGGCTCAAGTATAGACGTGAAGGGGTCATAGTCTTAGGGGTTCCATCAGGCTCTATCAGATCAGCAAATCTGCTCCTTTTTTTTTTTTTAATGATTTTGAATTTTGTTCCATACTGTTTTCCCGCTCTGTCCAGGATCTCCTACATAGATCACCCTCGAGTGGTTGACAGTGGTAGCGGGCACCATCTAGTTCTTCTGGTTTCTTAGTTGTACAGGCTGATAATTGCATGGTGTATTAGTCATTGGACTAATTGTTTCCATGCTTCTTTGGCGTTCTTCATTACTCTTTGCTCTGGACAAAGGGAAACCCATCATTGCATCGATGGCCGCTTGCAAGCTTTTTTTTTTTTTTTTTTAATTGTGATTTGGTGAAGGTTTATGGAGCAAATTCACTTTCCACATGACAGTTCACATACACTTTGTCTCTTGACATTGACTACAATTTACCACAATGCAACAGGTCTCCTCCCAATTCCTCTCCATAGTTACCTCTTCCTTGTGTCCTTTCCTCCATGCACTCCTGTTCCCATGGCTATGTCACTGTGTATAAGCAGCCCTTCTATTCTCCCATGATTGTTCTCTCCAAGGAGTGCATATACCTCAGGTACATGTTCAACTCATATGCCTGTCTTTTGTTTGGCTGGAAGCCACAGGAATGGGTTCAATTCCAGACGTGAAGGGCAGCTAGAGAACATAATCTCAGTAG